AAATGATTAAAACACGCAAACAAACAAACTAACTAATTAACAAACAAACAAACAAACAAACAAACAAACAAACAAAACAGTATATAAATCAAACAGATAAAATCAGAACAGTAGATAAATCAGTAGTTAAATGTAAGTTTTGAAATTGAAGCTTAAAACTGTGGATTTGGTGCTTTATTCAAATGCAGCTGAGAACAGGTGAGTCTTCAACCTGGATTTAAATAAACTGAGTGTTTCAGCTGATCTGAGGCTTCTGGGAGTTTGTTCCAGATATAAGGAGCATAAAAGCTGAATGCAGCTTCTTCGTGTCTGGTTCTGACTCTGGGAACTGATAAAAGACCGGATCCAGATGACCTGAGGGATCTGGAAGGTTCATATTGGGTCAGGAGGTCACTGATGTATTTTGGTCCTAAACCATTCAGAGCTTTATAGACCAGCATCAGAACTTTAAAGTCTATCCTCTGACGGACAGGCAGCCAGTGTAAAGACCTCAGAGCTGGACTGATGTGGTCCACTTTTTTGGTCTTAGTGAGGACTCGAGCAGCAGAGTTCTGAATGAGCTGTAGTTGTCTGACTGATTTTTAGGTAGACCTGTAAAGATGCTGTTACAGTAATCAAGCCTACTAAAGATGAATGCATGGACTAGTTTTTCCAGGTCCTGTTGAGACATCAGATCTTTTATCCTTGAAATATTCTTGAGGTGATAGTAAGCTGACTTTGTTATTGTCTTAATGTGTTTTTCTAAGTTTAGGTCTGCATCCATCACTACACCCAAATTTCTCGCCTGGTTTGTGGTTTTTAGATGTATAGATTGAAGTTCTCTGGTGGCCTGTAATCGTTTTTCTTTGGCGCCAAAGACTATTACCTCAGTTTTGTTTTTGTTTAGTTGGAGAAAATTGTGGCACAACCAGTCATTGATTTCCTCAATGCATTTACCAAGAGCCTGTACAGGGCCTCGGTCTCCTGGTGACATTGTGATATATATTTGTGTGTCATCTGCATAGCTGTGATAGTTTATTTTGTTGTTGTTTATAATCTGTGCCAGTGGGAGCATGTAGATGTTAAACAGAAGGGGCATCATAGCAGTTATTCTGTGTTAAGAAGTAATTGAGCTGTTGAGAAACTGCTTTTTCAATGATCTTACTTAAAAATGGGAGATTTGAGATCGGCCTGTAGTTGTTCATTTGTGTCTTGTCAAGATTGTCCTTTTTCAGTATAGGTTTGATTACAGCAGTTTTAGTGGTTCTGGAAACGCACCTGATATTAAAGAAAAGTTGACGATCTGTAACAGGTCTGACTCTAAAGTCTTTGAGACCTTTTTGAAAAAACTTGTTGGCAGGACATCTAAACAGCAGGAGGAGGAGTTCAGTTGACCTAAGATGTCCTCCAGGTCTTTGCTGTTAATAGGTTGAAACTGTTTCATGGTGTTTAAACAGTTTTTGGTGGACACAGTACATATCCTGGATCTGCTGTTGATGTACCAATTGCTTGTCTAATCTTTTGGATTTTTCTGTGAAGAATTTGGCAAAGTCATTGCAGGCCATGGTCGAATGAAGTTCAGCTGCCACTGACACAGGAGGGTTTGTTAGCCTGTCAACTGTAGAAAATAAGACCCGAGTATTATGGCTGTTTTTAGTGATGATGTCAGAGAAGTAGGACCTCCTTGCACTCCTCAGTTGTAAATTATAATTGTGAAGTTTCTCTTTATAAATGTCATAATGAACCTGGAGGTTTGTTTTTCTCCATCTGCGCTCAGCTTTCCTACACTCTCTTTTTTCATTTTTCACCAGTGTGGAGTTTCTCCATGGAGACTTTTTCCTTCCAGAGATAACCTTCACCTTAATGGGGCAATAGTGTCCATTACATTTAACATTTTTGCATTAAAGCTATTGACGAGCTCATTGACTGACCCTCTGGACAGATCAGGTGTTAATGGGAAGACCTGGTTAAAAATCGCACTACTGTGTTCAGTTATACACCGTTTTGTGATCACTGTTGTTGATATATTTCTGTGGGCTGAGATTTTACTTTCAAAGAAAACACAGTAATGATCAGACACGCCCACATCAGACACAGTAACCTCTGAAATGCTCAGGCCTTTGGAGATCAGTAGGTCAAGAGTGTGTCCTCTATTATGTGTGGCCTCTGTTACATGCTGAGTCAGCCCAAAGTTGCCCAGAGTGTTACTCAGGTCTTTAGTCCCTTTGTCCTGAGGGTTGTCCACATGAATGTTAAAATCCCCAACAATAATTACACAGTCAAAATCAACACAGATCACAGACAGCAGTTCACTGAGGTCATTAAAAAAGTCTGTGCAGTATTTGGGAGGCCTGTAAACATTAAGAAACACAACTTTGGATGGGGCCTTCAGCTGTAAAGCCACATATTCAAAAGACTGAAAACTTCCAGGAGATAGCTGCTTACATTGAAATGATTCATTAAATAAGACAGCAACCCCTCCTCCTCTCCTGCTCACCCTGGCCTCACTGATAAAACTGTAGTTAGGAGGGGTCGTCTCGATGAGAACAGCTCCACTGTTACTTTGGTCCAACCAAGTTTCAGTTAAAAACATAAAATCAAGGCTGTGCTCAGTGATTAAATCATTAATTAAAATGTTTTCCCAGCTAGAGATCTAATGTTTAATAAAGCCAACTTAAGTGTTTTAGAGGCATTACTTGTCCCCTCGTGTTTGGGAGCAGTCTGTGGCACACAAGGTATGTGTTAGATTTGTGATTATAGTTCATGTGTTATTCCTATTTAGCTTTTAGGTGAGGTTAAAGTAAGCCATTATTATTGTTTCTTGGTTTCTGTGTTTGGGTTCTTGTCTAATTTATTATGTGTTTTAGGTCTGTTAAGCTTGTGTTGTCATGTCTAGTTTCCATGTTTCCTGTGGCATTTTGAAGAAAGTCTTGTGTTCTATGTTCATGTGTTTAGTTTTACTCTCCCCTGTGTTGTCATTATGTTTCATTCTAGTCAGCTGTGTCCTCATGTGTCTCCACTTCCCCTGATCACCTCATTTGCGTATATAAGTCCCCAGTCTTTCTGTGTTTAGGGTTGCATTGTTTGGTATCCATGTCATAGTTAATCATAGTCAGTCCTAGTTTATTAATTAATCCTAGTTTGTATATACTAGAGATGGACCGATCCGTTATTACGTATCGGTATCGGTCCGATACTGACCTAAATTACTGGATCGGATATCGGAGAAAAATAAAAATGTAATCCGATCCATTAAATATCACGAAAGCACCTCACAAAACTTGCAACACGCCGTAACTCACCTCAGAACGTTAGCACGTCGGAGCAGTATGCATCACGTGATAGAGCGGCTGTGGCATGCGGGACCTGTCGGTGGTCTGGATAGCATTTGGAGCTTCGCTAGCAACCCGGCATTTCATCTCCGACAAAGTTATCCCCGAGAGAAGTAAAGCAAGTGTGTAAGTTCATCTCTGACTGTTTGTAAAGCATTTCTGCTTAAGCTTAACAAGCGACTGCCTCTTCTTGCTGCTATCATGAATCATCATGAAACTGCTTAATGATCAGCTGATCGGCTTTTCTGTCGCCAGTCCGTCTCTCTTGTTTGTTTTTGGCCCACTTTGCACCAGAAAGAGGAAACCAGCGGCTGAACAACAGCAGCACGTTTAAGCTTGATAAGCTGTTGTTAGAATTCATTTAATATTACTTTCTACACCAGGATCTTTTTCTACGTAGCTGACGCTGGTAACTGTGCAGGGGCGCATCTAGCAAAGTTTAGCCAGGGGGCCGATAGGGCATGAACAGGGAAAAGGGGGCACAAAGACATACTTTTCTTTCTTATTCTCATTTAAAATGTCGAGCTTTTAATAAATAATTATCTGACACCCAAAGTTTTAATTTGATGTAAAAGGAATAGAAGTCAATTACTGTATATAGTCACTATTAAGTCTAATATATATACCCTAGTAAGCTATAGTACTTTTTCCTTTGGGAAGGTACCATCTGTGCAGTCTGCAATTTTGTTGAAGAAAGATGTTGAATCTATTTAATATTTCTTGAAAAATAATTGATTTCTGTGCGTTTTTTTCACACTGCATCAAATTAAGGTTGATTACGTCGATTAAGCATCATGAGGTGGCGCGTGAGGGGTGGTTCCCTATTTTTTATTTATTTATTTTTGTTGTTGCTGGGAGTTGGAACCCTATTAGTTAGGTTGCTTAATATTTACGCTAAGTACTCTTTAAAATACCAGAATAGGGAGGATGGTGTAGGTTTAAGTTTATTAGATTGATCAGTATTGCTGAACTATGAAATTTTTTTTTTTGCATACAGGTATAACAGAATAGCTTTAGTGTAGTTGTTGTTTTAAACTTGAGTATGAACTTATACAAAATGCAGCAAGATATTTAAAAAAACAGTTTTGTTGATTAAAAAACACTATCGGATTCATATCGGTATCGGCAGATATCCAAATTTATGATATCGGTATCGGACATAAAACAGTGGTATCGTGCCATCTCTAGTATATACTGAAGATATATACACTAATGAAATCATAAAAAAGTGCTTTATTGGTAAATGGCCTGTATTTGTATAGCGCTTTACTAGTCCCTAAGGACCCCAAAGCGCTTTACACATCCAGTCATCCACCCATTCACACACACATTCACACACTGGTGATGGCAAGCTACATTGTAACCACAGCCACCCTGGGGCGCATTGACAGAGGCGAGGCTGCCGGACACTGGCGCCACCGGGCCCTCTGACCACCACCAGTAGGCAAGTGACACAACGACTGAGACTGTCGGAGCCGGGGCCCGAACCGGCAACCTTCTGATTACAAGACAAACTGCCAACTCTTGAGCCATGATCGCTCAATTATTGTCAATTTGCTGTTAAATCCTAGCATTTTCTGAATTTTATTGACGCTCAGATTTACATTTAGTATTGTAACCAACAGAGCGGTTTAAATAATGCAACATTTATCTTTTCACTGACCTCCTTTTTGTCTGTGCGATGTTCCAGATAAGCTGATATCAGAAAGGTCTTTGTCCCTTTAACTGCTGCAAGAGTGTATGGTCCCTGGGAACCTCATTGGTGGAAAAAAAAGGTTATTACAAATTTTTTAATAATAATATCATAACTTTGGCACATAGGGATGTTTGGTCTAGATGCTGCACATCCAAAGTCATCATATTAACAGCTTTATTAGGAGCATTGTCAATGGCAGCTGCAAAGCTGTAGACTTAAAATTGAACATAGGCTTTTCTCCATAGAGATCTCTGGTTGTCACGGCCAGGCGGATCAGCTGCACGCTGATCAGCTCTCTCACTCTCTCTCGCCAGGGCAGAACTCATTGTGGGTTCACGCCCTCGACAGATGAGACACCTGGGTCTCATTAAGACGATCAGCATTTAAACCAGGAGGCGACTGCTGTTCATCGCTGGATCGTTGTCCACCACGCGTTAGTGAAGTCAAGCTACAGCAAGTCTAGTTAATAGTATTTTCCTTTGTGCGTTGTACTTAACCCTGTCTCCCTGTCTACAGAGCTTCCTGGATTTTCCCCTGTGTGATTCCCGTGTGGCAGTGTCGGAGTGTGAGCCTGTGATCGTGTGTGTGGATGATCTGAAGAACGCGTGCTTTCCCCCTGGACTTCCCTGGAGACCCCTTCTTAACTCACTCAGCTGTATATAGCACCCCCCGCACCTTCTTGTATATACACCTGGTGAATTGTAAATAAATCCTTCTTGTGAGCATCAGAACCGGAGTCCTGCGCTTGAGTCCTCCTCCAAACCGTAACACTGGTAGACCCCCACCAACTCCAACTTAAATTACAAATTTTAGGTTACGGTAAAGGTCAAAACTAACTAAAATAACTTCCAGTATCTTTTACTATAACTATAACTTTTGGCAGTCATATTTTAATGCATGTATAGTCATATATATTTCATAGCAGTTCTGTATTTTCACTGAGGTAATCTTTATTTATTTTAGTTTTGCATCACCATGCATTGCATTGTATTTTTATGCAAATGAATAGATTTCAAATAGATTTATTGAAATTGAGTTAATAATTATGACACAATTTTTTAAAGTGTCATAATTAGTCTTTTGATGCTTCTTCTTCATTTATGTGCAGAAAACTTTCAGTTTATATCTCCTGAGCAACGGCCACCACAGTTGAGGTTTCCTCACTGACGTAACTCTTTTAATAGTTTGTGGTGATTGGCCTGATCAGCCAATCTACTAAAACACACCAATGATTGGACTGAACTACATCCAAAACACTGATAATAGGAATCTAAAGAATGATCAGTAATACGAGTGGGACCAATTACATTTTGTACCAAAAATCAAATATATCAAACAAAACATGAATTATAGTGAGATTTGAAACAAGAACAAATAAGTAAAACATTATAATAATTGATAGCAATATCTAACAAGTAAAAAAAATATTGTTTTATATTTTAAAAAGAAAACCATTCTAAAAAGACACTTAAAATTTAAAATGTCACAATAGAGGGTTAAATAAAAATCAAAACAACAGAATTGCTGTAGAAAGATGAAATGATGATTTAGTGAGTGAGCAGGAAGAGGAAAGATTTCTTAAGAACATATAGAACAAATATCTTAAAATAATGTAAAATATAAAATGCAATGTAAAATCTTTTACATTGAGAAGTATTCAATAACAGTAAGCTTACCAGCATGTTCTGGACTACTGTTGTGAGTCATATGTGGCTCATCTAGAATTGTTGGGACTGTTCCATTGTACTTCCAAAGCATCCAATGGTAGAATAGTCCTGTGCTACAGAGGTAAAAAATGACAGGGTAATGAAGACATCCAGAATAGCAGCAGCTACCACAGTGTTGTTTTAAGTACTTTAATGTTATATAGTACTTTATACTGTCTGTCTGCAGGGTCTGCTTTTGAAACCTGTTTTTCTACAAAAACATTTTTCCCCATTGTTAAAGTGCATTAAAAAGTTCAAGGCTAAATAACTATAACTGCTAAGGTAGGATCGTTTTGTTAATGGAGATCTATTTATACAACTTTTTGTCCCACGTCCAAAATGATTGAACACTCAAAAAATGAAATCGGAAGTTCAACTTGTACTTTTTACAAAATATTTTCATGTTTCTATGGTGAACGTAAGTAAATCATGTATCTGTATGAAATTCAACAACTTAATTTGTTCTTGTTGAGATGACATGATACAATCTAGTAAGAGTGGTTAGTTGCCTGCACTCATGAAATTCACCAGACCACACAAGATTTTAAACCACAGGAAAATCACCAGAGTTATAAGAGGCACACATCTATACACACACCGTGTGTATGCTATTGCTATTTATTGTGGTTTAACTGTCAAGGACAAAAACATACAGAAAATTCTGCAAGCTTTCCTACTTTTGTGAAGTCTGCATCAACAGCTTGGTGGTGCAGTAATTAGTACTGTTACCTCACAGCAAGAAGATCAAATCCACAGTCTGGCTAGCTTGCTGTAGGCCTTCTGGTTTCCCACAGTTAAAAATTATGCAGTTGTTAGAGCTAGGTTAATTGCTCATTGCTAAGAAGTAGGAGGCACATATACAAACTGTCGTAATTCCTGATTTGGATTTAAATACCCTCAAATAAAAGCTGACAGTCTGCAGTTAAAGCATATCTTGTTCGTTTCATTTGGAATCCATTGTGGTTGTGTATGGAGCCAAAAATGTTAGAATTGTGTCAATGTCCCAATATTTATGTCTCTGTGTTAGCCCTGTGATAGACTGGCGACCCCTTACCATGGTATAGGCCACAACAACCCTGATAAAGATAAGAGGATGGATGGAGTGGAAGTTGTTGTAACTCCATTGAAATTTTATGTTAACCAGAATCTAGACTTTGTTGAACATTATGTAATATGAAGACAACATGTGGTATTTAAGTGTTGGGGTGAAGGTTATTGAATAATATTGGAATACAGTGAATTAAAGAAAATTGTGAAGGACTGAAATATTTCAAGAGCTCAACTTACTCCATCTAAAATGTTTCAATCATGTTTTATCAACACAAAATGCACAGATTTATTGAATATGAATAAATTGTGTTGATTTAACTCAGTTATTTAAGATGCTGCCAAAGCAAAACATTTGTGTGCAACTAATGTCCACTATTGAATTAAGCAAATCCAACATGTTCTTTTGTTTAGTGAAGGATGTCCACAACTTGTGTGTTTATATAGACAAGCCAAGCTCTAGCCTCTCTGAGAATCTGAAGTGTATAAATTCAAATGTGTCTCTCCATCGTAATGGAAGCATTAGCATTTGTAAACCTAAAACTGTAAGAGTGGCTCCAGTAGATTCTAGGGTTTCTGCACAGAGGTGTCTGTCTGTGCAGTATTAGGAACAACTACAGATACTGCACAGGACCTTCAAACTCTCAGGCCTCTGGTAGATAACATGAGTGGGGGTGAGAAGGAGATTTTTTGTCATAACACTTGTCATGGTCCTGGGTCGGTGACCCAGCGCTTTAAGTTTATTATTATCATTTTCTAGTTTATTATGATGATTATTATTGTTTGAGTTCTCTTCTGTCTGCCTCTGAGTCTGCGTCTGTATCTCTGTCTGTCTATGGTGTCACCCCGTCTGTTTGTGAATCTGTCCTTTCAGTTCAGCGTCTTGTCTGGTTCCCTGTGTCTGAGTTTCCTGTTTTATTGTGAAGGTCTGTGTCTTATGTGAGTGTGCTCAGTTTACTACTCCCTTGTCTCGTCAGTTCTGATTTCTCCCAGCTGTGCTCTCCTTCTGTGTCTCTTTCCCCTCGTTACTTTCCATTGTATTTAAACCCTGTGTTTCTCTGAGTCAGTGTTGTGTCGTCCCTCATGCTGTTCTGGACCTCCCTGTGAGTTTTGGTGTGTTGTTTCCCAGTTTAGATTAGTTTGTATGTTTTTTCCCTGCCAGCAAATAAAGCTGTGATTTTGAGTTCAGCCCCTGAGTCTGTGAGTCCTGCATTTTGGGTCCAACTCCTGCCTGCCGCGCAGCGATTCATGACAACACTTTTACGCAAGGAAACCAGTCAAATCACAAACAGATAAAAGTACTTTAAACTTCACAGGGTTTTAATGTGTTTTGTGTGCTACTACACATTAAGGTGGCACTGCTTTTTCAATTGTTATCAGTTTTTAAATGGATGAATATAGATCTGATTACAACTAAACACTGCTGCAACTCCTGCTGACTCCTGTAATTTCACTCACCTGTAGGTGTAATATATTAGAAAGATGACGGTGATGACATAAATGATCCACATGAACTGTTTGATCTTTGGCTTGTTGCCCATCGCAGAGATATTATTTGCTTTAGCTTAGATGCTTCTTTTCAGTCTGGATGGTGAAACCTGAACAAGCAAAAGACAATGAATGATTTTTTTTATCTTTTATCAACTTCTGCTTTAACTCATCTAACTCATACAGGAAGGTGCTGCACACAGAGCAAACGAAGACAAATAACAGCATTTCTAGAAAAATGTTGAAGGAATAAGCATTTAAGGCATTTAACACACACATTGACTATACAAATAAATCCAAAATAAATGAGAAACACACACTGAGATGCAGACTGATTAAACACAGGGAACACAGAGAGACAACAGAGAGCAGACTAAAATAAACAGGCCATGAAAGGGAACAAAACTCAATGAAGGGCCATGGCTATCAATATAATATAAAAATAACTCCATAAAGAAAGAACAAGACCAAAAAATTCAAATCACATACAAATGTCACATGAACATTTTGTACCTTATAAAGATGAAAGCACAATGCATGACAGGAAAAGCAAGAATGACAAGTAAAACCTGATGTAACTCATTGATGGAATTTCTTGCCTTCTTAATGGGGTTCGGACCATCACAGTTGTGTTGTGCAGAAGTTAGGTTGGTACACAGCTGAAAGCCCTATTTTATGATGTTAGCATTAATATTATGGTTAGAACCAATCAGCTAAAAAGTGCACGCAAACCAGTAAACGAATTAAAACGAATAATTACTGTTGAGAAACTATGATTCAAAAATTACAATTAAAATCCTCAACAACAAAAACAACAACTGGTGAAAAATATAAACAATATGTAAACAACTTAACAACCTATCTCTCCAGGCTAGTATCAATCCGATACCGATGCTGACTTGTTATCGATACAATCGATATTTGGATTGATCCTTCCACCACTAAACGGCAGTCCATCATTACTAGGGCTGGGTATCGTCACTGATTTCTAGAATCGATTCAATTCCGATTCACAAGGTCCCGAATCGATTCGATCCACGATTCGATTTAAATCTGGGAAATTTTGACAGTCAGAAATATAATTCAGATCAGTACATTTACATATTTTTGTATCAATAAAAAGGAAGCTGACACACGCAAGACTTTATCAAAGGTGTGAGCATCACAGCAGATGCCTTTGTGTCAAAGTAGCTGTAGCGACAGCGCTGTAAGCAACAGTAGACTTGTGCGTAACAAGCAAGCGAATAATGAAGAAAGGGAAACTGTTCTTGAAGAGAGAGAGAGAGAGGGAGAGAGAGAGAGAGCTGCGCATCGCGATGGAAGCAAAACAGTAAAAGTCAGAGTGAATTCATGACGATGTTTATGTGAAGCGTTTGGATCTTCTTTTGCTGCTGGTTCGGTCAATATTGTTTGGAGAGAGATCAAACTAACAGCTTTAGAATCAGCGCATAAAGGGCGTGAACACAAAGCGCCGACCCGCCGACAGATCAGAATCAGCGAGCTGTCGGCTTTCAGCCCCGACTGTGAGAAAGGCGACATCTAACTGATTCTGATCTGCGGGTCGCGCTGTGTATTTAAGTCTATGTGCAGAATCCCTGTACCTGCTCTCATTTACTGTCTTAACTGTTTGGTGGTTCTTGAAATTTTGTGAGATGTCACCAGAGATTCTGGCATTTCGGGCAAAATAAATTTATATTAAAAAATCGATTCAGGATTTTAATGAATCGATTTTACGTTATCCAAGCCAGAATCGATTTTAATCGATGAATCGATTATAAAAACCCACCCCTAATCATTACTTTCAGAACTGAAGGTCAGGCAGTCAAGAAAAATTGCTAAAACTTTGAATGTGTCCACAAGTGAAGTCTCAAAAACCATCAAGCTCAACAGTGAAACTGGCTCACATAAGGACTGCGCCAGGAGAGGAATATGTCATGACAAGCATCACTGTGAAGTTGCAATTTTAATCAGATGGTTATTACCTCAATTATTCTAAAGAGTATACTGAAAGCTACATGAAAATATGAGCACTAATAATAATGATATCCATTAATCAAAGAATGAACATGTTACTTACATTTGTAATGCAATTATTTTTTGTACTTATTTAGAACCAGAAGAAAAAAATCTTCTTGTTCTGCTGGGGAAGCATAGACATGTCAAAAGTAAAACTGCAAAAGCATCTGACATTCAGAGCCGCATAAGATTTCCAAAGAGCAGTGGAGAAGCAAAATGGCAGTATGTCGCTCTGACATACATTTATAACGTATGTCAGAGCCACTGGGCTACGCCCACTTTCACAGCAACCCGGACTCTCAGAGGCAGTTACTTGGTCAACAGTTTCAGCTTTATTGTTAGGACACACATTTTTCATTAGAAGGATGAATGTGATTTATAGATTAGCAGAACTCAATAAATTTGGCCTCAAGAGACATTTTGTCTGATCTGCGCAGAAATGTCACTGAAACCTTGAAATTAACAGAACTGGCATTTCCACACCCTCTAGCAGATCATTACATGAAGGAACCTTTTAAAAAAACAAGCGCGTCCATGCTCACAGGTGTACACACGGGTGATCACACCCACAAACTACACCCCTTTTGGCTCCTACCTCAAAGCACACTGTGTTCTGTTGATCTTACGTGCTGCACAATAATGTTTAATATTTAGTATTTACTGTCATATTCCCATTTTGTCTCACAGCAAAATGCCACAGATGCCACAAGCAATGAGGGAGCGTGCAATTGGCATGCTGACAGCAGGAATGTCAACCAGATCTGTCACCCGTGCATTGAATGTTCATTTCTCAACCATAAGCCGTCTCCACAGGCGTTTCAGAGAATATGGCAGCACATCCAACCGGCCTCACAGACCTCGTGTAACCACACCAGCCCAGGACCTCCACATCCAGCAGGTTCACCTCCAAGATCGTCTGAGACCAGCCACCCAGACAGCTGCTGGAACAATTGGTTTGCACAACCAAACAGTTTCTGCACAAACTGTCAGAAACCGTCTCAGGGACGCTCAACTGCATGCCCGTCGTCCTCATCGGGGTCTTGACCTGACTCCAGCTCGTCGCCGTAACAAACTTGTGTGGGCAAATGCTCACATTCGATGGCGTCTGGCACGTTGGAGAGGTGTGCGCTTCACGGATGAATCATGGTTCACATTGTTCAGGGCAGATGGCAGCTGAGAATGTCCCAGTTCTTGCATGGCCAGCATACTCACCGGACATGTCACCCATTGAGCATGTTCGGGATGTGCTTGACCGGCGTATACGACAGCGTGTACCAGTTCCCACGAATATCCAACAACCTCGCACAGCCATTGAAGTGGAGTGGACCAACATTCCACAGGCCACAATTGACAATCTGATAGACTCCATGCGACGATGTGTTGCACTGCATGAGGCAAATGGTGGTCACACCAGATACTGACCGGTTCTGGGTCCCCAGACCCCCAATAGCGCAAAAAACTGCACATTCCAGGGTGGCCTTTTGTTGTGGGCAGTCTGAGGTACACCTGTGCACTACTCATGATGTCAGATCAGCATCCTGATGTGGCACACCTGTGAGGTGGGATGGATTATCTCAATATGGCAGATGTGCCCACTACCACACATTTGGACTGATTTGTGACCACTGTTTGGGAGGGATGGTTATATTGTGTATCTGGAATGAATTTTAGGTCTCTACGTCCATCCCATGGGGAATGGGAGCAGTAACAAAGGTGTTGCGTTTATATTTTTGTTGAGTGTATATTATATTGATATAACAACAAATTATCATAGTAGAATAGAAGTCTGGAATGTGAACATAATCCAATCTGTTAGTGAGGATGTCTACATCAGTGTTCTTGATGTTGTGGAACGAGATGAGATGGGTTGGCTTGGTAAAAAAGCAGCAGAGAGTGAGGTTAAATGAAAGGAGGAAATGGTCAGTTATGGGGATTTCAGCAACGGAAAGATTTGAATATGAATGTTGAAATCTCTCAACATTTGGGGAGAGAGATGAAAGGTGGGTTAGTAAGTTAGCAAAATCCCTGAAGAAGACTGAGTTAAGCTGGGGGGGGGGGTTACAGTAGCTATGATGGTGTCAGTCAGCTCACATGCAAGGCACTCTAGGGAACTAAAGGTATCAATATTGAGTGGCAGGACTCTCAAGTGCTGTTGAAAAATGTTTGTGAGACCATCCCTTCGATCTGAGCAGCGAAGTTCCAAAAAGTAAATAAACCTAAAAGAAGTAGATTTATCCAGTTAATATAAGTCATCAGGTTGTTGCCAAGTTTCAGTTAAACAGAAAAAGTCAATGTAACAGTCAGATAAGAGGCTTTGGATGAGAGGTCCCTTATTTGTCAGTGAACAGATGTTTAAAAGGCCAAAGTTGAGTGGAGTATTTTCTTTTTTGCCAATTGCGGTGGGCGGCCTGGTCCGGTGGACTAGAGACCGGTGGTTGACAACATGATAAGGGTTCCTGCGAGGGAGGAGAGTAGCAGACCAAAACGATTTCATTCCACTGGAGTTGTGGAAAATCCTGCGGGACCCACGATAGATGTATCTCCGGCGAGGCTGGAAAGTGATGTCTGGGGTGGATGGGAGCGACAGCTAGCTGCGAAGGTGCAGGAGCTCAGCGCTTGTATAGCGGAGAAATCCAGGCGTGAGCTTTAGGAGAATCCAAAATAGTGCAGACCAGCTCAAGAACATATTGGCCCACATCTTAGAAGATGTGGAGGAAAAAGAGCCAAGGTGGCCGGAGCAACAAACAGTAGACTAAAGTTAGCTCAAACAGTTAAGCTAGTACAGCTCACTGGGAAGTAGATGTCAGAGCATTTAGCTGAATTAGCAGATGTTGAAGGCAAACGTTATAAATGAATCCCTGGAAGAGATTGATCTGGTCCTGAAGTGTCAAATCTGGAATCCAAGTAACACCACTAGACCAAAACATGTCTATAAACAGGTATACACATATTGCGTGTATTCTCGGAATTTCCGGGAATACACGCTTCTTTTGCGGTGGCGGAACACCAAAGTAATTGCATACGGAGCTTGCTTCTTCGACATATTTAAAAGTTCTGAACAAATGTCAGTTCTTCTACAGAACATCTTATGTACGCAAATGCGCGTTCCAACTTCTTATCTGGTGCGCATCTTTTATTTTGACAGCGAATGCGCACCTGCGGACCACTTATGTGCAGCCCTGTCTATAAATCATGGACAAGGCTGCTCTCTACTGTGCTGAGACCAAACTAGCACTAGAATTACTGAGCCTTTTTTTCCCTGGTGCAATTCACCATGGTAGTTTCTATGTGCAATATTTTTCATATGCAATATTAGTTCTTGTCAATCCTTGTCACTACATTGCATGCCTGTCCATAAACATATATACACAGAGTTGTACATATATTTATATAGCCACACCTTACATAATATGCATAAAGATGGCGAAAGATGTACCCTTAATTTGCATAATTATGATTGAGGAACTGACCTCCCAGCCCAATGTCCCTTCAGTGGGCTGGTTTCAGTCATTATGCAACTGTACTGTTTATAAGATTTGGGGAAACCTGCAGTCGGCTGAGACTGAAGAAGTCACCTGGATGAGTGACGAAACATTTCTCCCACAAAACGCTACGTCCAGATGAACACAATCAACTTTTGGAGGCAAATATAAATGGTCAATTTTAAAATCCTATGCGCAAGTTTTGCAAACAACAAAGTTATTTGCAGCCATTTACCTTTTTACCTTGATTTTTTAAATAACCATTTCAAACTATTTACAGAACAATCAGCTGTTCTGCATTCAACAAGATGCCACACAAATTATTTGTGCCTCTCCAAAAAAATAATTTCTGTCCACTATAAAGAAGAACATCACAGCCTGATACCTGCAGGTCTGACAGCAGCAGGTGTATCACTCCTGTTTCTACCTGGAGACAGCAGTCGCCTCATTGTTCTGACACACAACACAAAACTATCCACAACACTACAACACATTGACTACACACGCCAAACACGCTAAACGTCACAAATCTGTCACATCTCAAAATTCGCTCTCTCTCTTTTTCTGCTGTCTCTCTCTCTCTCTCTCTCTCTCTCTCTCTCTCTCTCTCTCTCTCTCTCTCTCTCTCTCTCTGTCACTCCTAAAACTTCCCCTGTTTTTTGGGGGGGTTTTGGTCATAAGCAGAGAGTGCTTGCTAGCGCTGTCCTTAGACAGTAAACGTGACGAAACTATTGAGGAATAACACGCGTATATATTGTTTATCATGACTCTGGTTTTTCGTGGCCTATCAACACAATTTGAAAACTGATATAGATATCACCTTGTTGCTTTGTAATCTTAAAGTGGTCATGTGATTGGCTTACCACAACTACTTTATTCTTCCTCAGTCAAACAGCAGCACTCATGCGATTGTTTTGCCCCCTTAGCTCCAGGTGTTGTGCTAGACAGTGATCGTGATTACTGTCTGCGGGAGCGCGCGCAGCTGCTTAAGTAAATGTTTAACTACAGCCACCTTGAAGGCCTGTGGTACATAGCCGATTATTAGAGATAAGTTGATCATATTTAAGATTGAAGAATTAATTAATGGCAGGACTTCTTTGAGCAGTTTTGTGGGAATGGGGTCTAAAAGACATGTACTGTTCTCTCTATGTGTTAAACTCCCTGAGTGTGAACATAGATAAACAGCCAGCCAAACTCCTTTTCAAGAGCCAGGAAAGTGAGCGTACTTGCTCCTTTAATGACTCCAAACATAGCAATCATCTTGCACTGACATCATTGAACTGGAGTGAAACTAGAAAAACACATAATACAAAACTCTTAATCGATTGTCATATAATCAGCAGGTAAATATATTCAGGCACTTACACAGGAGACTATGAAATAAGTATACTGTAGATATGCAAACTGATATTACTACAAAGAAAAACAAGCAGGAAGTGGGTGAGCGTACACTTCTATCATTAGGTCAGAAGCTACACCCTATAACTGCACTTCAAAGAAGGTACAAAATAATATCTCAAAACACCCTATTATTAATTGCTTAATATACAAAGAACTGACAAAACTTACGACTATTGCTTTCTGAAGGACTCCTTTGAAGGATTGCTTTGAATTCCACATGAATGACTACTTGCTTTTCACATTGTTCTCTGCATTTCCTGCTTCTTGCCTATGCACATGTCAAAATAAAAGCCTTCCTGTCTGTGGAGCAGGGAAATTATTTTACTGCTATTGTTAAATAATTATCATCATTACCATTGCATTAATAATATAATCTGCAGTATGATCATTGCTCTAACAATGTAACAGATAGCTTTAAGATGGCCTTAAGATGTTTATGCATACAGTTATTATATTAACTTTGTATTCCAGGTGCAGTTATAACTATTTTATACACAATGCATATTTGTGCTTATTTGAGTTGATGTTCAGGTTTATTAAGGGTCTTAAGCTTCACTGGCGTGACTGTCCAGATGAGACATGTTGAGGGAAAACTAGAACATAGAAGGAATTGCAATACATGCTTACAAAACACTTATATCAGGTTATTTTTAATATCTTTTATATGTTCATATTCTTGTATTAAGCTTTTAGTAGAGGTTCCTGATTAAAACATTTATTTAGTAGATGACACATACATAGTTTCAGTTCGGTTATTACATATCTGAGAGTGGTTTCTGTCTCTCTGTCTGGTTAGAGGTCAGGAGCTAGTCAGCGAGGTGAGACAGGGTGCAATTGTGGTTAGCACACACACACACACACACACACACACACACACACACACACACACACACACACACACACACACACACACACACACACACACTCAGTTAGAGAGAATCATTTATAGATGAAAGTTTAATCATGTTTTGCTGGGGTTGCAAAAGAGCAGTTTGTCGCAGAACTGCTGCTGAGGTGTCAAGATGACAAGCGAGCATCCAGCAGTGACAGGATGTACCTGTCATGAAGATAGAAGACGATGTTCTTTTTAAACTGTGGTAAAAGTCATTGTGGTTTTGATTTGACGTATGTATATATCCTGTCTGTGACGTATGAAGGGGCGTCAGTAATTCAAACCCTGATGCTATAAAAATCTGTGTATGCTTTGAGTAAGTCGAAGATCACTTGCTGTCTGCGTACAGAGCTGTTCTTCCCACACGTGTGTATTCATTAAAATCATGAATGGCTCAAGATCTTCTGGACCATGGTGGTTTGTACTCTCCTTCCTCAATTTTTGAACCTTAACACCAGATGTCAAAATAAAAGATTCAACATTTTTCAATATATAACAATAGAAATACACTTTACACTTATTTGTGTCATTAGCATATGAACATATTGAAAACAGAACAAGACACGTTGATGGTTTGGAGGAAGTAATTATTGAAGTTAACTCAGAAAGATCAATTGGAGAAAAAGAGTCTAAATGAATATCAATGGTACTAAGAGTAGCTGTAGATAATATTACATCTGTGGGATGATTGTTGGTAATTTTTTCTCAAATGATTAAAATTTTGCCTGTGAAGAAGTTCATGAAGTCATTACTAGTTAACGTTAAAGGGATGGTTGGCTCAAAAGAGCTTTGAATTTTTGTCTGCCTGGCTACAGTGCTGAAGAGAAACCTGGGGTTGTTCTTATTTGCTTCAATCAGTGATGAATAGTAAGATGTTCTGGCTTTGCCGAGGGCTTTCTTATAAAGCAGCAAACTATTTCTCCAGGCTAAATGGTGATCCTCTAAATTTGTGACACGCCATTTCCTCTCCAGCTTACGAGTCATCTGCTTTAGGGTAAGTGTTTGAGAATTATACCACGGAGTCAGGTACTTCTGATTTGAGGCCTTAGTTTTCACAGGAGCTACAGTATCCAGAGTCGTACGTAGTGAGGAGGTAAAATTATTAACAAGATGATCGACCTCTGTTGGAGTAGCGTTCAGATAGCTACTCTGCTCTGTGTTGGTACAGGGCATTGAAGATGATAACAGTGGGTGGATTATATTCTTAAACATAGTTACAGCGCTTTCAGAAAGACATCTACTGTGATAAAGTCTACTCTCCACTGCTGTGTAATCAATTATTGTAAATGTAAATGTTATCAGGAAATGATCAGACAGGAGAGGGTTTTCAGGAAACACTGTTAAATGTTCAGTTTCTATGCCATATGTTAAAACAAGATCTAGAGTGTGATTAAAGTGGTGGGTGGGTTCTTTTACATTTTGAGAGAAGCCAGTTGAGTCTAATAACAGATTAAAGGCCATGTTGAGGCTGTCATTTTTAGCATCTACATGGGTGTTGAAATCACCCACAATAATTATTTTATCTGAGCTCAGAACTAAATCAGATAAAAAGTCGAGGCGAAGCATCAGGCTTTCAAATGAATTTAAAGTCTGTCTTGGTCTTTGGTTGATTAATAGGCTGGTGTGAAAAATTGCTGCCACACCGCCCCCTCGGCTTGTGCTTCGAGATTTCTAGTAGTTAGAATGACTCACGGGTGTTGATTCATTTACACTAACATAATCATCCTGCTGCAACCAGGTTTCTGTAAGGCAGAGTAAATCGATTTGTTGATCAATTATTAAGTCATGTACTAACAGAGACTTGGAGGAGAGAGACCTGATATTTAATAATCCACATTTCACTGTTTTACTCTTTGGTTCAGATGTGGATACTGTATTGTTCTTTCTTTGTGATTTTTTATGTTTAAGTTGTTTGTTGCTGGATTTTAGTTTGTCAGCTCCCAAACAGACAAAAAACAAAGTCTCAATGGAGATGGGTTTTTGGGGGTAACAGGAAGAGAGAAGCTGCAGAGAGGCATGTAAGACTGCAACTCTGCTTCCTGGTCCCAACTCTGGATAGTCATATTTTGGGAGATTTAATAAATTTGTCCATATTTCTAGAAATGAGAGCTGCTCCATCCAAAGTGGGATGGATGCCGTCTCTCCTAACAAGATCAGGTTTCCTCCAGAAGGTTTGCTAATTTTCTATGAAGCCCACATCGTTTTTTGGACACCACTCAGACAGCCAGCAATTTAAGGAGAACATGCGGCTAAACATGCCACTTCTGGTCTGATTGGGGAGGGGACCAGAGAAAACTACAGAGTCTCACATTGTTTTGGTAAAGTTACACACGATTCAGTATTGATTTTAGTGACCTCCGATTGGCGTAATCGGGTGTTATTACTGCCAATGTGGAGGAGCACAGGACAGACTCAATGACTGCAGTGTAGAACTGGGTCAGCAGCTCCTGTGGAAGACTGTACTTCCCCAGTTGTCTCAGGAAGTACATCCTCTGCTAGGTCTTTTTGAGGATGGAGATGATGTTGGTCTCCCACTTCAGGTCCTGGGACATGGTGGTCCCCAGGAACCTGAAGATCTCCACAGTCGACACAGGACTGTCTGATGTGGTGAGGGGAAGCAGTGTTGAGGGATGTCTCCTGAAGTCCATTGTCATCTCTACAGTCTTAAGCATGTTCAGCTCCAGATTGTGCTGACTGCACCAGAGTACCAGCCGCTCAACTTCCTGCTGGTATGCAGACTCCTCACCATCCTTGATGAGTCCGGTTGTGTCATCTGCAAACTTAAGGAGTTTAACAGCCGAGTTCTTGGAGATGAAATCATTAGTGTAGAGGGAGAACAACAGTGCTGAGAGGACACATCATTGAGGGGCACCAGTACTGAGGGACCGAGTTTCAGAGGCAATGTCCCCCAGCCTCACTTGCTGCTTCCTGTCTGTCAGGAAGCTGGTGATCCACTGACAGATCGCTGGTGGCACGCTGAGCTGGGAGAGTTTGGAGGAGAGAAGTTCAGGCACGATGGTGTTAAAAGCCAAACTAAAGTCCACAAACAGGACCCTGGGATAAGTTTCCAGGTGGTCAAGGTGTTGCAGGATGTAATGCAGCCCCGTGTTCACTGCATCATCCACCTACCTGTTTGCCTGGTAGGCAAATTGCAGGGGGTCCAACTGGTGGCCCGTAATAGAATAGAATAGAATAGAATAGCCTTTATTGTCATTGTACAGAGTACAACGAAATTGGAGTGCCACTCCCTTGGTGCAAGTTTCAATAATAAATATAAATGTAAAATATAAAAGTACAAAAAAAACCAATCGTAAGTACTCAAACAATAGTATGTACAATATATACAGGATAGCAGCATTAATATAATGACAGTATGAATAGCAGCATAATATAATGACAGTGAGGGTATGGAATAGGTTTAATTGTTTTTGTGCTTATTTACTACGGTGATAGCTCTGGGAAAGAAGCTATCCCTGAATCTGTTTGTCCTGGTTTTATGTGACCTGTACCGTCGGCCTGACGGTAATAGTTCAAACAGTTGATTGCTGGGGTGAGAGTGGTCCTTGATGATATTGCTAGCTCTGCTGAGGTACCGAGAGTTTGCAGTGACCTCCAGGCTGGGCAGAGAGCAGCCAGTGATCTTCTGGGCTGTGTTGATGACCCTCTGCAGTACTTTCCTGTCCGCAGCTGAGCACCCTGCATACCATGATATTATGCCGTACGTTAGGATGCTCTCTATGGTGGTTCTGTAAAATGTCACCAGCAGCCTCTCCTCCAGGTTATTCCTCCTGAGCACTCTCAGAAAGTGGAGACGCTGCTGGGCCTTTTTAACCACCGCCGTGGTATTTGCAGTCCAGGAGAGGTCATCAGATATCTGCACGCCCAGAAACCTCATGGAGTGTACCCTCTCCACACAGTTCCCGTGAATGTAAAGTGGGGCCGGGTCTGCTCTGCCCTTCCTGAAGTCCAAGATAAGTTCTTTAGTTTTCGTGGTGTTCAGTTGGAGGTTGTTAACTGAACACCACTCAGTCAGTCTGTTGACCTCATCTCTGTAGTCCGACTCATCCCCCCTTGAGATGAGTCCAACCACTGTGGTGTCATCCGCGAACTTTATGATGGTGTTTGAGAGATGGGTAGGGGAGCAGTCGGATGTGTAGAGCGTAAACAGGAGGGGACTCAAAACACATCCTTGTGGAGACCCGGTGCTGAGTGTGATGGTGCTGGACCGGTGGGGGCCGAGTCTGACAGACTGTGGTCTATTTGTCAGGAAGTCCTTGATCCAGAGGCAGATGGGGGTGGAGAGTCCCAGGTGAGACAGTTTCTGGACCAGGATCTCC